TTTTTCTTTTTTTTTTTCTTTTTTTTTTATAATTTGGAGAATTTCGGACCGTTTCTCGATTTATGCATGGCATCCTTGCGCAGGGGCCATGCTAATCTTTTTCTTGTATCGTTCCAACTTCAACGGATGTCCCGAAGGACAGTTACCTGTAGCCTCTTAAAGCTGTGCTTTATATTTTTCTGATAAAGCTATAAAAAATGTACTTTACTATTTTGTTACTTTTTTAATAAAACCATTTTTTTTTTTAAGTAGGGGGATGGCCCTAGGCTACCAGAGTGGCCCAGGACCACTTGCCCGGCCGGGCCAAAAAAAGTTAAAAATAAAAAATAAAAATAAAAACATTTTTCATTTTTATTTTTTATTTTAAGTTTGGTAGAAAATTTCGATGTGACCCTGAGGCAAAAGTTGTTCAGGTTATTTTTATGCTGCACATAGTTTGTTTGTTTTTTCGTATTTCTTAATATTTTTTGGATTGTTTTGTTTTTTTTGTTTTTCTCTTGCTGGGACCTTCCCTGGTCGTTGCACGGCTGGGCCGCCCGGGAAAACAAGGTGACCAGGGCATCCCGGCTGGTGGCCCAGGGGATGGAGCAGTAATTTCTTTTTCTTTTTTCTTTCTTTTTTCAATCTGGACCATTTCTCGACTAATGTGCGTCAGCCCTGTGCGCAGGCCATGCCACTGTTCTCTGTATCGTTCCAATTTGAACGGATGTCTCCACGGCGGTAATTTTTATTTTATTTTCCTCCCCCTCCCCTTTCTTCCAATGAGAGTCCCCACACCCCTGCTCAGAGTTCCCCCTAGTGGCCCTCCTGGAAAGGCTATTTTTCTTCTTGGCAGATTTTCTGATGACTTTTCTGAACGTACTCGTCATGGGACGCTTGGCCCGGTTCCCAGTTCGTGCCAATTTGTGAGGATATGGTTGTATCTATGGGACGCTGGACCCGGTTTCCAGCAGGTGTTGCTCCCCACCAATAGATGGAGCACGTTTCAACAAAAAAAAAACAAAAAAAAAAAACAAAAAAAAAGAAAACAAATCATCAGATTCATCAACCATTCTCTCCCAACACTCCCAAATTCCCTTGGGGAGAGCCCATCCATCCCCGCCAGTTTGGTCGACTTCATCTTTTTTTCAAGGCCTTTCAAAAGCTCTTGCTTTGACAAATAGATATAGGGCCTCGCTCCACTTCTCTCCAAATATGCAAAATGAGAATGAATCGTCCGCTAGAACATGGTAAGAAGATACGCAGCCATATTGGGCCTTGCTGCACTACTCTTGAAATGCACAAAAGACAAAAATCATGGCCATGTATTTTTCCATATTCTAGCGGAAGATTCACTCTCGTTTTGCACATTTCGAGAGTACTGCAGCGAGGCCCATTGTTTGCCTTTTTTTGTGCATGTGGAGAGTAGTCAAGCGAGGCCCATATCCTTGTGAAGATCGGCTACGGCCTCAGGTCGGATGTTCGGCCAGCAAGGCAAGTTCTTCAGAAATGACAAAAAGGAAAAATTACAGTCGTCTTCCGATCGGCATATCGTATCAGAAAGCACAGAGGTCGAGAACGTAGAAGGAATGATCAAAGAAACGACGACGACACAACGAACGTAATGGAGACAAAATGTCTGCCGGGTCCGGTCGGGACATCCTTTCAACTTGGAAACTGAAACTGGAACGTCATGAAGAAGACAAGCATACCCCCCTCCTCCCTCCTCGCCCCCCTGCGTGTAATGATGACATGCATGAATCGAGAAATTGTCCGAATTTCAAATGTTTTTTTTTTTTTTGTCAAAGACAACAACAACAAAGAAAAAGGGTGACAATGACAGATCAATGCCTCGTGGACGTATGCTTCACAACTTTTTCGTGCGAGTTTTTGTTTTTCCTTCCAGACAGCGTACAGAGATATCCCTGACATCATCGCTGATGCTGCACTTATCCTGTGGAGGGACTGCAAAGAGATAATCGATGACATCCATGCAAACGACACTTGTGTAACAGGTGAGTCCATTCCAAGAAATTATGTACACTTATGATGCCCTGATCAGACTTTATATCTCATTCCACTCACGCAGCTCCATCTGCATGCCAGGTGTTCAGCTTGTACCTTCCGCTAGCACACATTCGTATGCATCACAACGCCGTCGCTGTGCCTTCTGCTAGCGCACATTCCTATGCATACCGGGTACTCCATCGGCTTGTTGCCGTAGCGCCGCTGCGAAATGATGTTGCCGACCTCCTGAAAACCATCCATGGAGGGTGGAGGGTGGGTCTTGCAATCGTCGCCCGGGAAAGTCGTCGTCGTGTTCCGCCGGAACGAAAAGGGCCAACTTTGAACTATGAAAGACCAGGTAGCACACATTCCTAGTTTCATATGCATCACAACACCGTCGCTGTACCACATACGCGTAATCACATGCGCTTATGTAGTGTAGTGTCTCACCGTATCTGGCACAACGTATGCCGGGATATGGTGANCAACACCGTCGCTGTACCACATACGCGTAATCACATGCGCTTATGTAGTGTAGTGTCTCACCGTATCTGGCACAACGTATGCCGGGATATGGTGAGAGACTGGCGACCGTCAGCACTTGCATGCGCATTGCGCAATCACATGCACTTACATAGTGCAACTTAACTATGTCAGCCCCTTGTCCGTGCCCTACACCAGTGTACAAGGGGCTGCGGTCTTATTCGACCTATCAGACGAAGAAAGGCTGCACGCTCCTATACGGCCATCCCCACATGGTTCGGGGCGCAAATTTGAGTGTTGGAAAATAGGCTCTGGTGTACTGATGATTACAGCAATCGATCTGCAAGAAGAATATGGCACGACACGAGGAGGATGAGGATCCCTCTTCTGATATTCGCTAAAGTTAGAATGAAGTATAGGATCTCCGCAACAGAAGTGGCAGAAAGTGATAACCAGGGCACCACGAACAGGAATGGATTGCATGGATTCCTAAGCAACCTGAGCTACTGATCCGCGAACGATAGAGAGACGATTAGCACCTGATGCTACTGTTGTTTTGGTCTCCACCCAAACATACCTATTACCTCCCTGCTGCTACTCCTTGCTCAGTCCGCCGTGATAAGTTAATTTGGGAATTTTGGCTTCCACACTGTTGCTGTCCAAAAGGAATGAAAACCTCTGCACCTGCTAGAGAGTCAATTTAACCACACAACTTTGTGAACCCATAGGTCCCTTCCTTTTTTCACTGGCTGGTTATCATACAGCACTTGGCGTTATTAAAAAAAAAAAAAAAAAAAAAAAAAAAAAAAAAAAAAAAAAAAA